CAACGTGGATGAGAGGATTTAATGAGCGACAGCAGGTGAAATCTTAACTTTTGTGCTGTTTTTTAAATGTTTATGGTTTTAATAAATATACTTTATGCATTATTTTGTTTTATTATTGACATTGTTCTAATTGTTGATTGGGAACCATGCAGACTTTGATATAAGATTGGCAGTTCTATAAATGTTTAAATAAAGTAAAATGAATTTTTAAAAAACACTGAAGCAAAAGCAACTTCTGACTTCCCACAGGCTTCCCCATTGAGTTATGTGCAAAGCTGCAGGGAACATTGGAAATCTTTCTTCCCTTCCCTTTCCTCTTGTCTCTTCCCCTCCTGTCTTGTAACTCAAATCTGCTTACAACATTGGTCTAGAAAACCAAAGTATGCAGCATAATTGAAGTTTGAGACTCATTTAGTTTTTGAATGGTATGCTAGAAGGACCGCATTTCAAAATGTAAGTGGATCCAGGATAAAAAAAAAAGTCTTAATTAAAATTCAGTTCACTTGATGTAATAATTTTCTCCATCTGCCACACTGACAGATACAATTTGCTGCCAATTTTGGAGGAAGTCTGGAGGCTTCACGCAGTGTTTCAAGGAACAGCATGCAGCTTTGAGACCTCAGGTTCTCCACCTTTGCGCATGCAAGGAGAAAATTGCCTCAGGAAGCAAATGCTGAGAAGTATGGTGATGTAGTCTTTTGGGAGAAGAAAATTATATGCATAGTAAGCCTCCTCTGAACCACCTTGAGATTGCCTTCTGCAAGAAAGAATACAATCCCATGACCAGGGATGGGCTGGTCAACTTCATGGCATAGAAAAGATATGAAGCATCTCACTTACAAGGTGAAAACTCTATTGGTTACTCTTGTCATAATTTTTTACATTCTCTTCCAAGAGCATCATGCCATAATTGAGCTTTAGTGTTGCAGCATGTTTGTTCCAAATCTTTTCTTCCCGTCCCTTGGTTTTGGATACAAACCCTAAAGGTAAAGGTTCCCCTTGCACATATGTGTTAGTCATTCCCAACTCTAGGGGGCAGTGCTTATCTCCGTTTCAAAGCCAAAGAGCCAGTGCTGTCCGAAGATATCTCTGTGGTCATGTGGCTGGCATGACTAAATGTCGAAGGCGCACGTAAGGCTTTTACCTTCCCATCAAAGATGGTTCCTAGTTTTCTACTTGCATTTTTACATGCTTTCAAACTGCTAGGTTGGCAAAAGTTGGGACAAGTAACGGGAGCTCACTCCATTACATGGCGCTAGGGATTCAAACTGCTGAACAGCTGACCTTTCTGATTGACAAGCTCAGCATCTTAGCCACTGAGTCACCATGTCCCTTAAATAACATATATAAATCCTAATGCTTGTTGAATACAATTAAGTTGTAAATGACTTTCTGTCCCTAACACCAAACATTCCCCATATATCATGCTACATTTATAATCTTGCAATTAAAAAGTTTTGTCTGGGATCCATGTTCCTGGCTCTTTCTGAACTTCATAAAATTATTTATTTTGGGATTGATATACATGACTCATCCCTTTTTCAGCAATAAAATGAAATAACAAATGAAGATATTTGAAGTAGTGACAGAGGAACTATCAGACATCAAGACAATGTCATCTCTTCAGTCATTGGGATACAACCAAAATCAAGGGAGGTACTAATACCATTCTATAAAGCCCTAGTAAGATTACACCTAGAGTACTGCATCCAGTTTTGGTCACCACACTATAAAAAGATGTTGAGACTCTAGAAACAGTGAAGAGAAGAGCAACAAAGAGGATTAGGAGACTGGAGATTAAACATATGAAGAACGGTTGCAGGAACTGGGCATGGCTAGGGAAGAGAAGGACCAGGGGAGACATGATACCAGCCTTCCAATATTTGAAGGGCTGCCACAGAGAGGAGGGGCTCAAGCTATTTTGCAAAGCCCCTGAAGGCCAGACAAGGAACAATGTATGGAAACTGACCAAGGAGAGATTCAACCTAGAAATAAGGAGGAACTTTCTGACAGTGAGAACAATCAACCCATGGAACAGAAGTTGCCTTTGGAAGTTGCGGGAGCTTCATCACTTGAGACTTTCAAGAAGAGAGGGTCTCCTGCTTGGATGGGGGGGTTGGACTAGATGACCTACAAGGTCCCTTCCCAGTCTGTTAATCTAATCTAATTGGCTGCATCAGAATATATTTCCATCAAATTTACAAAGCTTGGCTTCTGATCAACCAGAGAAAAGCTCATACTCTTTGGGTCTCTCTAGGTTCTTTTCTCCTGTCTTCCCTGGCATTGATTTTAAATACAGAAGCATTTAAAGTATAGAAGTAACAATAATCCCCTGAAAAGACCGCTGAGCTTTATTACACCGGATTACCTGGTGTCTTTCTCTATTCTCCCTGTAAAAGCTATCTGAATATGTATGTTTATTAGGCTTCTAAGGGATGTTGAATGTAACTTTATCTAGCATGAGATGGCTTAATGGAGTAGTTTTCTAAAGAAAATAAAAATGTCACCATGACAACAGACTTTTCTGCCGATCATCCTTAGATGAAAGCATGGTAAGGGAAACTTGGAAAATTTAAAATGAGTCCCTGTTCACAACCAGTCACAAACTTGGAATCACAAAAGATGATGGTCACTTAGACCACCATCAAAAGAGAGATTTTAGGGGATGTTGGTCATGATTCCTAGTGACACCTCCAGAATGAAGGTAGAGGACTCTAGGGATTAGTTGTTGGGCACAGGCATTTAATAATCGACATTCAGGGGAGGTATTTTTGTTAGCCACCAAAGCACGACGTGAGACTCTAAGGCAGGGGTGTTTAAAACTGGTGGGCTTCAGCTCCCAGAATTTCCCAGTCAGCAAGACTAAGATATAAAACAGACTGGGATGGAATTTTCCATTTCTTTTTCTTCTTCAATTTTTTTGCTTAAAGTATAATCTTTCAAAAGGAGGAATACTCTCTCCAACGTCTTCTTAGGTGGTATCTTCTCATTTGGAAGATGTTTGAAGTTGTCATTCCTCAAATTGGATAAGAACTTGTATTTTTTTTTTTTTTGCCTGGTGCTAGGGTTGTTGTTTTTTTGCTGCAAAGTTTTAACAAGCACAATCTTAAAAGGTGAAAAAGAATTGTAGAAGAAGCTGTATTCAACCATGCTCACTTTCACCTTTCAAGTTCGTTTATGACTTTCCCAGAGGTTCAGGCTAACCAAAATGGTGAGTTGCCTGAAGAGTATAGCAAAAATTTTCATTTAAATAGGTGTAGTACAAACAACTTAAATCTCTGGACAAATTTGCTGTACTGTACAGACTTGCCATTAACAAACAATAGTAATAACAATAGCAATAGCCCTTAGATATATACTGCTTTACAGTGCTTTTACTGTAAAGAGTCAGCAAATCTCCCCCAACAATTTCAGTCCTCATTTTACCCACCTCGGAAGAATGGAAGGCTGAGTAAACCTTGAGCCTGGTGAGATTTGAACTGCAAAATTGCAGGCAGCCAGCAGTCAGCAAAAGTAGCCTGCAGTATTGCATTCTAACCACTGCTCCACCTTGGCTCATAATTACATGAATCCAATCTGGTTAGTGTAGCCTCTGAAAAGAATCTAAAACTTGTTTGAAAATACTAAGCCATATACTGTGGTAGTATATATAGAATAGAATAACAGAGTTGGAAGGGACCTTGAAGATCTTCTAGTCCAACCCCCTGCTTAGGCAGGAAATCTTACACCACTTCAGACAAATGAATATCCAACATCTTCTTAAAAACATCCAGTGTTGGAACATTCACAAGTTGCTAGGCATATGCGGAAATATGCCCCAAGCCCACCGACTCAGATCTAGGAAGAACTTTATGGCAAGAACAAATATTCTTGAGGGTCACAAGAACAAAATTGAATTAAAAGATGGAGGAAAGAGACCATTGGGCAAGGAATGACATTAAAGGAGGATTTGGTTGAAGGATCTTATACTACCTGGAGAACGCTAAATAAGTTGGGAGTTGGAGTGCCTAAAGGTAAAACCAATATACTGAAGTGGAGGCTCTTTGCAGATAATATGCTTTGTGAATGTGGAGAGAAGGTGGCTCCATTCTACCAATTTGAAGATTGATCTAAACATAGGAGGAGGAGGAGGAGGAGGAGGAGGAGGAGGAGGAAGAGAAGAAGGAGGAGGACTAAGAAAGAGAAAGAGTGTATGCTAGTTCTTACAATGCCAGGTTATGAATCACACATATTGTGCCCAACACTTCTGGGAAGTCCAGGCTGATGAAGGTGAGGTGGTTGGAGAACTAGAACTCTCTGAATTATAATTTCACTATATACTATTGTTACCGTTAATTCACCATATATGGACCCATTCTTCCAGCTTCTATGTAAACAGTGTAAATATTGGCATTAAAGATTAAGAAAACAAAGAATATACTCTTTTGGTATGGTTTGTAAATGTTTGCCAGAGTTGCTGCTGAGAGATGGCAGCCACATAAATCCAAACAATAAATAAACAAATGTGTGAAACAACGGACATATATTGGTGAAACGGCAAAAAAAAAAAAAAAAAAAGAACGCAGAAACCATAAAACATCCCAAATCATATGACTTGCCCCATATATATGACTACTTCAGCTTCATCCGCAACAATACATGTGCACACAATAGATATGAACTTAAGGTAAACCGCTCTTAACTCGATTGCAGAAAATACGACTTCAGCAACAGAGTGGTCAATGCCTGGAATGCTCTACCTGACTCTGTGGGGGTCTTCCCCAAACCCCCATAACTTTAACCTAAGACTTTCTACTGTTGAACTCTCTCCATTCCTAAGAGGTCTGTAAGGAGTGTGCATAAGCGTGCCTACCATCCCTGTCCTATTGTCCCCACTTATTCATATTCATTTCCTGTATTCATAATCATGTTTATACATAATATGTTATTTTATTCATGCTTGACAAAATAAATAAAGTAAAATATAGGTCCTTGCAGGCTGAGCTACTGACCAGACCCACCTTCGCATTCTGGCTGAGTGCCACTCCATGATCCGTTGGCTTGACACATTCTCTGCAGTGAGCCCCGGAGTGTGTAACCCGGCTCACAGCTAAACCAGACCGTGCTGTTCACACTTAATTCGTTTTCACCATGCCGGATACCATGCGAAGGGATTCCTGGGTCACCACAAAGTCCCCGGATGCTTCCTGCCAAAGGAAAGCAAAAGTTCTGTCACTGGAGCAAGCAACGCTACCCTCATCTCTCCTCTACCCATTGACCGAGAGTGCAGTTTGCCATTCGCTCGGATGGAAAAACTGACAGAGACCCACAAGAACTGGAGTCAAGGAAACCAGCAAAAGACCATTTTGGGAATTGAGAAGAAAGAAAATGGGTTTCCAGATGTTGGAAGAACAGGGAGGAGCACAGCAGTCAAGGCACCCACATCAGGAAATGGGCTCATCTGGGGCCTGACAATAACCAAATAGCCTTTAAAAATAGAGGAAGATCTTAGAATGTGCAGAGGTGGATAAATTGTCCAAGGAAATTTAAGGAAAGGAGGAATCGGAGTACTATCTAGTTTGGGAAAAATGGTATAAATGGTTAGATAATAGACATATGAAATAAGAATTCTGGAAATGCAATTTGTATCATAGAAGAATTAGAAAACAGAGATAAGAAAGTAGGAAAAGTAGGATTTATAAAAGTAGAAAAAAGACATATAATAGAAGACAGGTCACAATGACGGTCTAATACAAAAGACCAAACACAGACTGTTAAGCAAAGGAGTAAGCAATAAAAAGACCATAAGGGTAAAATTTAGAATGTACAGAGGGGGAAACAATACTTGTAAAGATGTACTGATAGATCTGCTGTAAGAAGGAATGTACAGTTCCAGTGCTGTTTGTAAGTTTTGTGTTTGTTTTTGTCAATGTGTTTACATGTTTAAAATAAGTTTTTTTTTAAAATAAATTAATAAATAAATAAAAATAGAGAGGCTTTACATTTCTGGGGAGTGATTGCTCAAGCAGGCATTTGCATATTCTTTAGTGTAACATAAAATATAGGTAGTCCTCGATTTATAACAATAATGAAAATGTGACTTGCGAGCAGTCTTTGCAATGGTTGCAGCATCCCAATAGTCACACGATCAAAATTTGGCTACTCAGCAACTGGCATGTGTTTATGGCAGTTACAGTGTCCCGGATTCCCCATTTGCTACTTCCTTGGCGGGAGGGGGGGGGCTTCCAACATATCAAGTCAAAGGGGAAGCTGGATTTACTGAATATATACACTTGTATATATGTGTGTGTATGTATGTATGTATGTATGTATGTATGTATGTATGTATGTATGTATGTATGTATG